TTTAGGGTCAGGGTTACATTTAGGGTCGGGTTAGCAGAGGCCTGAGGATGAAACCAGCTGATTTGGGTTTTCCAAGGAGTTTTTGATGAAGAGCAGAAATCCTTCCTCAGTCGTTTTGTTTTGTTTCCAGCTCAGATTTTTCTGGTTCCTGAATCTGTTCAGAACTAGCGACACGGTTCCTGTCCCGGTTCTTGACCCGGTTCCTGACCCGGTTCTTGACCCAGTTCCTGTCCCGTTTCCTGGCTCAGTTCCTGTCCCGGTTCCTGACCCGGTTCCTGTCCCGGTTCCTGGCCTGCAGCTGGTTTCTGCTGCAGGTTTTCCAGGTCAGGATCTTGGAGTTTTTCCTTTTTGCTTCATCCAACAGAAACAAGTCGAGACTTGAAGCAGCAGAAGAAGAAACCAGGATCAGAGCGACGTGTTGCTGCAGCAGCTGCTGCAGCTGCAGCAGCTGCTGCAGTTTGCTGTTTCCTTCAGTCCTTCATGTTTTTGTCTCCAAATGTTTCATTCACTGACTGACGGCCGTTTAATGATTTTAAAATATAAACTTTCTACAGAATAAAATCACAAAGTTTATTGGGATGATTTTTAATCTGCTAAATAAAAATCGGTGGTGAAATAATTCAGGTCAACAAAATCTTAGATCTGGGATCAGAAACTGGAAAACCTGAGAATGTAAAATCTTTGACCGGCTTCATCACTGTGAGGAGAAACGATATGAAATCATTCTAACATTCCCACCGTGGGACAGACGGCTTGTTGAAGAAGCTTCTCCATTCTGACTCTGTCAACTAAATTGAGCCCATTTTGGTCGACATATTAAAACTTTATCAGATGTTGCATACAGAGCTGAGGCTGGACCCACTTTGTCTTCTGCTTTCTCAGTTTAATAAATGTCAGCAACAATAGATCCATATGTCATAGATCTATGATAGATTTATCTCTCTTTGCTGATATTTTCCATATTTTCTTCTCTCATCATATTTTGTGTCTCTTTGTTCCTCCTCTTCTTCTTCGTTGGTATGCAGCCTGATGCCTAACACCCTAACCCTCGTCTCTCTGACCTTCTGCTGCGAGGATGAATACAGATCAGACAGCAGATCTTCACTGATGAACACATTAATCCTCCAGCAGAAACTCAATTATTTCATTTTGTCTGTTTGTTTTTGTTCTGATTGTCTGAAAAACATTTTTATTTTTTCTCATCGGAATCAGAGATGAATTATAATCTGAACCTGAAAATCATGAAAACTGGGGAAAAATCATCAGCATCCGTTCCAGGTTTTCTGGATCCTGTTCCAGTTTTTCCTGGTCTTGTTCCAGGTTTTCTGGATCCTGTTCCAGGTTTTCTGGGTGCTGTTCCAGGTTTTCTGGATCCTGTTCCAGTTTTTCCTGGTCTTGTTCCAGGTTTTCTGGATCCTGTTCCAGTTTTTCTGGATCCTGTACCAGTTTTTCTGGATCCTGTTCCAGTTTTTCTGGATCCTGTTCCAGTTTTTCCTGGTCTTGTTCCAGGTTTTCTGGATCCTGTTCCGGGTTTTCTGGGTTCTGTTCCAGGTTTTCTGGATCCTGTACCAGTTTTTGGATCCTGTCCCAGTTTTTCTGGATCCTGTTCCAGTTTTTCCTGGTCTTGTTCCAGGTTTTCTGGATCCTGTTCCGGGTTTTCTGGGTTCTGTTCCAGTTTTTCTGGATCCTGTACCAGTTTTTTCTGGATCCTGTTCCAGTTTTTCTGGATCCTGTTCCAGTTTTTCCTGGTCTTGTTCCAGGTTTTCTGGATCCTGTTCCGGGTTTTCTGGTTCTGTTCCAGGTTTTCTGGATCCTGTACCAGTTTTTCTGGATCCTGTTCCAGTTTTTCTGGATCCTGTTTCCAGTTTTTCCTGGTCTTGTTCCAGGTTTTCTGGATCCTGTTCCAGGTTTTCTGGGTTCTGTGTCAAAGTGTCTGTGAACAGAATCATTTTTGTTCTGATCAGATTCTGGTTCCTGAATCGTTTGGCTGAAGGAGTCGTTCTCTCTGCCAACTCGTTTCTCCTCTAATGAATTCAATTTCTCTCTCTTGTCTTTTTATCTGCGGATCGATTCTGGTTCTGTCCTGTTTGGCTCCGGTCCGGTTCTGGACACTTTGTCCAAATCGGCTCGTTGGGTTTGATTCGTCCCGCCTTCGGTTCGCTGACAGACGGACGGACAGATGGATGTTTATGCAGATCATCATCATCATCATCATCATCATTACCAGCTGTAGAAGGTATAGTTCTAGTTGAGCCCTCAGAGGTTCTGTGGGTCGGCCCGGTTTCTCTGCTTGGTTCCGGTTCTGATAACGAAGCAGCAGAAACATCCGGGTCCAGATTTCCTCTCAGCTGGTTGCTTGGAAACGAGTCATCAGATAAAACCGTTTCCTGATGAAAATCAGGAAATCATTTAGAAAACGGCTTCAAAACAAATATGGAAAAAACAATAATTATATGGATGTTTCTGTTGATTCCAGATCAAAACAGATAAAATGTTCAGA